CAATTAAAAAAGTCTTGGGAAGGAGATGGCTCAGCTGTTGAGAGGTAACATAGGACCTGAATTTGGATCCAGCACCCCAAGCTCACAACTGGCTGTAATTCCATCTCCAGATCTGATGCTGACTTCCTCTTCTGAACTGAGTACCTCACTTACACAAGCACATACCACCACACAACACATACAACACACACACACAAATAAATCCTTCAAATCTGAACAAACATAAACACTAAACCTACTGAATTAACCTTGTTTTGTGCCCTAAAATGTGCAGCACACTTACAAGTCAAACATTCTACAAAACTGTCTTAGCTAACCATGGCTGAGACTTAAAAGAACAAAGCCCTATAGCTTAAGAATGATTATTTATTTAAAAATATGAAAAATAATTAAGAATCTCTGCAACAAGTATTTTATTGGGTTCTGTTTTTGTTTTTTAATGTACAGGTTCTGCAACTAGACTGCAGGTCTTTTTTAAATTACATTTTATATTCCAACTACACTTCTCCCTTCCAATCCTCCTTATGCCTTCCCCTCACCCCCTGCCCAGCTCACCTCCCATTTACTCCTCCCAATCAATGGGTAAGGGCTTCCATGGGGAGTCAACGAAGTCTGACACATTAAGTTAAGGCAGGATCAAGTTCTTCCCTGTAGCACAAATTCTAATTGTTCTTAATAATAAAGCCCAGAGTTAGGGGGTGAAAGTTGAAGAATCAGAGAAGCAGTGCAGCCAGCCACTAGAGAGACTTTTACCTCTACCAATGCTCAGACCGAAGGGGTGATCCTGTTCTCAGACTGTTCCTCAAACTTTGTTCTCTAACTGCAGGAGTGAACCTCAGACTGAGCTTCTGTCTCCTTCCACCTTATATTCCTCTCTCCACTCAGTCATATCATTGCTGTCTCCACCTCCTTAGTGCTGGGATTAAAGACGTACGAGCCCAAGTGTTGGAATCACCTTTGTGCGAGCTGCTTCTCTTTTAGACAGATTCAATCTCATGTAGTCCAGGGTGGCCTTAAACTCAGAGAGATCCTCCTGCCTCTGTCTCCCGAGTCCTGGGATTAAAGGTATGTGCCACCACTGCCTGGTCTCTACTGGCTTAGCTCTGCACTCTGATCCTCAGGCAAGCTTTATTAAAGCATACAGCTCCCCCCTGCATTAAGGCTGAGCATGGCATCTCAACATAGGGAATGGGCTCCAATAAACTAGCTCATGCACTAGGGCAATATCCTGGTCCCACTGTCTCCCACATATGGAGGACCTAGTTGAGTCCCATGGAGGAGTCACAGCTGCCAGTCTAGAGTTCATGAGTTTCCATAAGCGTGGTTCAGCTGTCTCTAGATTTCTCCATCATGATCTTGATCTCCTTGTGTAAGGTCCATGTGTCTACCCCTGCTCCTGGGGTTCATCTCGAGGACAGTTTCTGGTCAGCCAGCTAAAACATTCTGTTTGTTCCTGTGCTCCCTCTGCCCTGCCTGGTGATTAGCTAGCTATCGGGCATTGTTGACTCCACCTTGGGCATGGTAATTTCCCGCCTGCCTGGGGGGTATTCCACTGTGCAGCCGCTAGGTATTTAAGGTTTTCCCTAAATTTGATCTCCTTTCGAATGACCCAGGTTTCTTGTGTGTTCTTTCAATCTCCAGGCCCTTGCCCGGCTCATGTATGGTACAGTGGTGTGCGAACTGATGCAGGTGTTACACCTTTGTTCATATATTTCATCCTCCCTCTCTTCAACTGGATTCTTGGAGCTCAGTCTGGTGCTTGGCTGTGAATCTCTGCATCTGGTTCCATCAACTACTGGATCAACTACTTGGTCCACTCTGTGCAGTCACTATCTCTCAGGGTGCAGCCTACACAAATTCTGTGACTTGAGGCTAACCACACAAGCTTTCATTTCCTCAACTATAAAATATATCCTGGCCCTGCCAGGATGTTGTGAGAGTAAATGTTGTGGGATATTTGATCACACTGTAAACCTGGAGTTTGAGTTTAAATAAGTAAAATTAAGCTTGGGTCAGAAAGCCGAGTTAGCACTTAGTTGACATAAAGTATTCATAGTGTCAAAGGTTATCTGTAAGTCAGTAGAGAGATGCACAGGAAGAAGTAGGGAGGGACTTAGTGTAGCGTGGGTTCTTTTATTTTGGTGGAGCACAAGGACACTCTCTTTTTGGAGATGCTGGCAAAGAGAGAAGGTCAGCTAGTTGCTACTCAACCTCTCTGAGCTAGCAGGTTTTCACCCCAGCCTTTGATTCCCATGTCTTACTGATAAAGAGAATGACAGATTTAATTAAAAGCTATATTTAGCAGCAGCAATACAGCCACTGCCTTCAGGAACAAAATTCCCAGCAGGCTGCAGCCTGAGCAGCCTGAGCACTGACAGAAAAGCGGGTCAGTAACTGTGGAGCTGCACTTGCTGGCTAAACAGGAGATTAAAACGCAGCCTGTGTGCTGATGGAAAAACAAGTAAACTGATTAAACACGTAAGAAGTATTTTGTAAGCCTTGGAGCCTCTCCTGAAACTCGTAGACGAGGCTGGTTTTCGAGCTCACAGAGATCCGCATGCCTCTGCCTCCTGAGGGCTTGGATTAAAGGTGTGTGTCACTGCTGCCTGGCTCAATTTCTTTGAGTTCTAAACCGTCTGGTCTACATAGAGAGGTAATGTGGAAACATTAGAGGGACCATGTTTATTCTATCTAAAGAAAACAAGTCACCATTCACAGGGTTTTTTGTTTGTTTGTTTGGTGGGGGGGCGGGGTGTGTGAGACAGGGTTTCTCTTGTAACAGCTCTGGCCATCCTGGACCTCGCTCTATAGACATGATGGCCTCGAACTTACAAGGATCCATCTGCCTCTGCCTCCCGAGTGCTGGGATTAAAGGCGTGCGCCAACACTGCTAGACCACAGTTTGCACTTTTACAGTCAATCACAAAAAATACAGATTTAGGAACAGATAACAAATGAACCCACAAAGAGAATGAGAAAGCAGAACTAAACTAGGAATTGTTATCTCCAAAACTTATAAATTCTACACTGAGCTCAGACACAGAAACTGGGGAGTAACCATAACCAAAATATGTACATGTTAATCATGTAATTATATTATATAGCTCCTCTCTACCCTCCTGTGGATCAGAGGCTAGGACAAAGCAAAGTCAACTAGAGCAAGAAACAAAATAATGGTAGAAAGGACATAGGAAAAGTTGAGAGTAAGCAAGAAAAAAACATGTGTAAAATGACAATTTATGGTCTATATCTAATTGTCTTTTTTTTTTTGGTTTTCAAGTCTGTTTAATTTAGTTTTTTTGTTTGTTTGTTTGTTTGTTTTTGGTTTTCAAGACAGGGTTTTTCTGAAGCTGGAAACTAGCTCTTGTAGACCAGGATGGCCTCGAACTCAGAGATCTGCCTGTCTCTGCCTCCTGAGTACTGGGATTAAAGGCGTGCACCACCACTGCCTGGCCTCTATTTAGTTTTGATCTTAAATTTCTTTGTTTAAAAACTCTTATGAGGTAACAGGTGGTGGTGTGCATATCTTTAATCCCAGACAGACAGACAGACAGACACAGACACAGACACACACACACACGTAAAAAGGGCAGAAAGGGAGGAGAGATGGCTCAGCAGTTGTAGTGGACCTGGGTTCAATGCCTATCAAATTAAATCAGGTGACATGTGGTACACATATATAAGGAGGTTTGTGTTCTCTCTAAGTAAAAATTTGAAAATAAAACACAGGGCGAGGGGAAAATTGAAGAGATGAGTCAGTGGTCAAAAGTGTATACTGCTGGGGCTGGAGAGATAGTTCAGTGGTTAAGAGAGCTGGTTGCTCTCCCAGAGGGCCTGGGCACAATTCCCAGCATCCACAACTGTCTGCAACCCCAACTGCAAAACCTTCACACCAGTGCAAAAAAAGGAGAAGAAGGAGATAAGGAGAAGGAGGAAGAGGAGGAGGAGGAGGAATGTATACTGTTCTTTCAGAGACTTTGACAAAGGTAGCTTATAACTACAGTTCCAGGGGATACCCCTCCTTCTGTCTTTTGAGGGTACAACTGTTGTACACACACACACACACACACACACACACACACACAAATAAATAAACCTTAAAAAGGAAAAAAATGCTTTAATATATTATATATATTTATTTATACAAAGCTCCTAGACTGGAACTGCAGCTATAAAATATTTCTTATGTACTTATTTGGTTATGTTCAAAATTTTTACTAAGGGAAAATTTTAACTCAAGAACCTATGTTTATTCAATATACACATGTAAAACATACTAGCATAAGGATTTTTGCCACACACACAAGATTTCTGCCATAAAATATTAGACTACACAACATACAATTGTTTAGTCTACAAAATATAATAAAAACAAGTACATAGTAGAGAAGCATACATTTTTTTTTCTTTAATCAACAAATATACATAATTACAAGGTACTGTAGCTACAATAGAAAAAGATAATCAGGGCCAGAGAGATGGCTCAGCAAGTTAAGAACTATTTCTTGCATGTTGTTCTCTGATCACACAAGTACTGTGGCACACATATCCATATACATACATATAAAAAGTGTAATAAAATTAAGCTGGGCATGGTGGTTGAGTACTTGAACCCCAGCACTTGGGAAGCAGAGGCAGGATGATCTCTTATGAGTTCAAGGCCATCCAGGGCTACAATAGTGAGACACCCATCTCACCATTTGATATTTAAAAAAAAAATTATAATTATAGAGCTGGGCAGTAGTGGTGTACACCTTTAATCCTTGCCTTGGAAGGCAAAGGCAGGTGGATCTCTGTGAGTTCAAGGCCAGTCAGGTCTACAAAGCAAGTTCTAGGATAGCCAGGGCTATTATAGAGAAAGCCTGTTTCAAAAACAAAACAAAAATCAGATTTTATATTTTATGTATAGACATAAGGTTACGGTTTCTATTGCTGTGAGGAGACACCACAACCACAGCAATTCTTATAAAGAACAACATTTAATTGAGGTGGTGGCTTACCATTTCAGGTTCAGTCCATTATCATCATGGTGGGAGCATGGTGATGTGCAGGTAGTCATGATGGTGGCTGTAACAAGTTCTCTTCTGTCCCACCAGTCAGTTCCCAAATGACAGAGACTTCTTACTAATTATGAAATTATGAAAGCTCAGCCTATAGTTTAGATTTGTTCCTAACTAGCTCTTTTAAATTAATCCATTTATATTAATCTAGGTCCTAACAATGACATTACCTCTCTTCCATCTTGCACCTCCTGTTTCCTCTCCGTGTCTCCAGGCATCTTCTGTGCACCTTGATTATCTCCTCTTACTTTTTTCTTTCTGCCCAGAAGTACTGCCTAGCTATTGGCTGTTCAGCTCTTTACTAAACCAATCACATCACTCTATCTTTACACAGTATACAAACATTTCACCACAGCTAGCTACACCTTGATATACGGGCAATAGGCAGTGGACTGTGACACTGACCAGTATCTTGAGCATAGGAAACATGAAAGCCTGCCCCAACAGTGACACATTTCCTGCAACAAGGCCATAACTGCTCCAACAAAGTCATGCCTCCTAATAGTGCCACTCCCTATGAGCCTATAGAGCCATTTTTATTCAAACCACCACAATGTATATGAGTATTTTACTTGCATGTGTCTATCTACACACTTGCGTGCCTGGGGAGGTCAGAAGAGAGCCTGGGACTAGAATTATAGGATAGTTGTGAGCAGAATGTGGGTGTTGGGAACCAAACCTGGGTCCTATGCAAGAGGAACAGTGCCTTTTAACTGCAAAGCCTTCCCTCAGCCCCCGGTATTGATCTTAAATGTCAAGGGAGAGGAGCCTTAAAAAAATTATGTCACTGGGGATGTCCCTTTGAAGTGCATAATGAAACTTGACTCCCCTCTCAATTTTACTTTCTAGCAAGAAGTGAGTGGCTTTGAATCTACCACATTTCCTGCCAAGAAGTTTTGTGGCATCACAGGCTCAAGGTTTAAGCTATCATGAACTGAAATCATGAGCCAGAATAAATTTTTTCTCATGAATTAATATGCTGTAATTAGGTATTCTGTCACAGTAATGGAAAGCTAGCACACGCCTTCAAAATTTATAGTTTAGCTGCAGGATCCGCTTTTTTCCCTGGCTGGGTTTTGGTCTTGCTTTGATCCCACAGTTCTTACTGTGCCCTGTTCTTCCTTATTGGAATGAGAACGTTTATCGTCAGTGGAGTGTAACTTTTTCAGTTTATAGGCACTCACAGTAAGAGTGCCTTGAATCTCAGATAAGATCTGGACTTTGGACTTTTAAACAATGTTGGAACTGTTAAATACCATGGCACGTTTGAAGTTGGACTGAATTCATTTTTCAGTGAGATGGTGATGAGCCTATAGGTATATGGAGTGGAAAGGCATTAACTTAAAAGTGATGTTCAAAAGTTGTCAAGTTGACAAGGGGAAGAATTGTAACGGTCCACTTCATTGTCAATTTGATGAGATTTTTGAATCAAATCAAATTTAACACAAGTTTCTGAGTATGTCTGTGAGGGATTATCTAGATCAATCAAGATAGGAAGATGTAGTATGAATTCTAACTGGTTTTAATAATAAAAAGTTGGAGTCAGTTATCAGGGGTGAAAGCTGAAGGATCAGAGAAGCAGAGCAGCCAGTCACTAGAGTTCTTACCTCTGCCAGTAGTGCTCAGACTAAAGAGGTGAACCTGTCTCTACAAATCATCAGACTGAATGTCTCTCTACCAAACCTCAGACTGCATCTGCAGACTGCATCCTCAGACTAGATCTGCAGACTGCATTCGAGTTCGGTCTCCTTCAGCCTTATATTCCTCTCTGCCCAGCCATATCCCTTCTTGTCTCCACCTCCCTAGCGTTGGGATGAAAGGCATGAGCCACCATCACTTGGCTGTTTCTCTTTTAGAGTGGCTCAATTTCCTACAGTCCAGGGTGGCCTAGAACTAACAGAGATCCACCTGCCTGTTTCCTGAATCCTGGGATTAAAAGTGTGTGTCACTACTCCCTGACCTCTAGTGGCTTATCTCTGCACTCTGATCTTCAGGCAAGCTTTAATTATTTGTTGAAACACAGACAAAGTATCACCACAGGGAACATCCACCCTAAACATGAGTAGTACCTTTCTGTGGGGTGGGCTCTAAGAATGAATCACATTCCCTGTGGATGCCTCCACCTGCTTCTGCCACCAGATCTTCCCTGAAAGTCTTGATCATAACCCAAAACAAACGCTTCCTTAAAATGTCTTTTAAAGTATTTTATCACAGCAACAAGTAATTAATACACATAATGAAAAACCTGTGTGTCCAGTTAAAAATGAGAAGATAAGGCAGAATCTGTGGAGGTTCCATAGGAAACTGAGAAAAAATTAATAGAAAACTGTATACTGAAAGGTACTTATAATAACATACCTTAATATTTCTGTATTTTCCACATATTATCGCATATTGCTCAATTTGGTAGAAACCGATGGCCTTGGTCTAAAAACTTTTACCAAAAGTATGCTCTAGGAAAAATAATCCCAGTTCTTTTAAACAAACGGAAGCATAGCCGACCCCTCAGCGCAGATGCTACGCCCCAAAGCCCCGTCTTTAAAGTCTTCCATCCTTACCATACATTTTTACTTTTTAACAGTTCTGTTTTATCCTAGATCCTCCACCTCACAAAAGGAATTTCCCTGAAGAACCAAAACACCTTGTGATTAACAACATATTCTCCCACACCCAAAGTTCAAATACTGCTTCTGCCACTTAACATTATGGTCTTAAGAAAGCTAACTTCTCTATGCTTCAATTTCATTATAAAATGGGTTAACAATAATACCTATTGCACAGTGAGAGGAGCTGAGTTTATACACACAAAAATTATTAGAGTAGTGCACAACACCTAGAACCTAATACTTGCTATTGGCTCTCAGCTAAAGCTGAGAATGTCACCTCCTAAAACCTTATCTCTGCCTATATAAACCTTTGTCTATATAAACCCCCAAACTCACTCCTAGCCAGCTAAGCATACACTTCAAAGTAAATAAGGGTTCTATTTAAATGGGGGGAGGGGTGGCTGGAGAGATGATTCAGATTTTGCTTCTCCTGTTGCTCTCCCAGAGGACCCGCTGGCTCCAAGCACTCAAATCAGGAGGATCACAGCTTTCTGTGCCCTGGCTGCTATGGTGTGGACACCTCTATAGCATCTGCAATCACATAGCCACAGGAAGATACCTACATTTTAAAAATAGATTTGGTGGTCAAGAAAGCTCTGTGAAGAGATAGCTCTAACTTAACCAAGCTGCCAAGAGAGATAAGATCCACATCAGTGTTCTCAGTGTGGTCCTTAGTTAGAATGATCTAGGAACTTAGGAATTATAGGGCTGTATCCCACATGTACTGACTGAGAAACTCTGGGCCAGCAGCCGGTATTTTCAGCAAGTCCTCAGGTGACTCTGCAGGAACACTACTAAGATTGTACCAGGGAAGGTAACTGTCAAACTCCTTGCCTTAGGACATTGCACATGCTGCTTCCTTAGCTATTTCCTCAAAGAGAAAATGTTCTCACTTAACTGCCCCTCTGACTTCCTAGCAGCTAGGGAATTAAATTAAGCTCAACAAGCTCAACGGTAGCACATTCATGAGTGATCCCAACACTTGGGAAGTGGAAGGAGGATCAAGAGGTTCAAGGTCATTCTCAGCTACACAGCCAGCGTGAATCCAGCCTGAGCTAAATGACTCTCCATCTCAAATTAAACAAACAAAAACCCCACAAAACTTTCATTTTGTTCCCTAAGACAAGGTTTCCCTACATAGCTCTGGAACTTAAGCTCCTCCTAAGCATGATAGAATTATAACTATGACTAACTAGGAACAAAGACCTTTTGTGTATATTAATTGCCACCAAATCTCTACCGCCTACAAGAGTTGGACAGCATTTACAGACAAAAGTCAATCAGCATGTTTACAAAATGCATACATAGTTCAAAATAGGTGGTGGGCTAGGGAGATTGGTAAAGTACTTGGTATTCAAACATGAGAAGCTGAATTTGGATTCCCAGCATCCATTAAAAAAAAGCCAACCATGGTGGTATGCATCTGTTACATCAGCATTGTAGGAAGCAGACCCCAAAATTCACTGGCCAGTCAGAGAGTTGAACTATGAGTTCCAGGTTCAGTGACTACGGTAGAGAGTAATAGGAAGACACCAGTTACCCTAGCCTCCATGTACGCACAGATAAGCATGCACACATGTGAGTGCACAATGACATGAATACAAACATTTTTATAACACAAAACTCACGTTAAATGCTGACAAACTTGCGAACAATTTCTGTCACTTAAAAAAAAACAATGGTGGATGGGCAGTGGTGGTGCACACTTTAATCCCAGCACTTGTGAGGAAGAGGTAGGTGGATCTCTGTGGGCTGCAGGCCAGTCTGCAGAGTTCCAGGACAGCCAGAGTTGTTACAGAGAAACCCTGCCTCGAGGGAAAAACAAAACAAAAACCATTGGTGGTGAGGCTAGAAAGATGGTTCAGTATTAAAACACAGGCTGCTCTTCCAGATGACTCAGGTTCAGTTTCCAGTAACTCCAGTTCTGGGGTATGCTCTCTTCGGCCTCCACAAGCAGTACATACATACGGTACAGACGTACATACAGGCAAACACCCACACACATTAAAAATACATATACCTTTGGAAAAATAAAAGGGGCCCCTGCTTTTAATTTCAGCAATTGGAAGGTAGAGAGAAGTGGATCTCTGTGAATAAGTAACCAAGGTCAGTTGGTTTATATAGAGAATTCAAGGCTAACTAGCCTACATACTAAGACCCTATCTCAAAAAAATAGGGTTGGAGAATGCTGTGGGACAACGGTCTGTACCCTGTCAATTATATTTTAAATAAACGCTGATTGGCTAGCAGCCAGGCAGGAAGTAGAGGCAGGATGACAAGAACAGGAGAATTCTGGGAAGAAGGTTTGGTCTTCAGTTGTGACCCAGCCACAGAAGAAGATGTGACTGCCTCACTGAAGAAGGTACTGAGGCATGTGGGTAGTGCAGATAAGAATGGGCTAATATAAGCTATAAGAGTTAATAAGAAGCCTGAGCTAATGGGCCAATCAGTTTAATAACTAATGTAGACCTCTGTATGATTCCTTTGGGACTTAAGGACTGCGGGACCTGGGCAGGACAGAAACCCCAACAACAGAAGGTGCATGAGTACGATCAAAATACAGCATGAAATTCTCAAATTAATAAAAACATTAAGTGTAGTAAAACTTCTTTGTTCACTGCACCATTTTTTCTAGTTATGCAGCTTTAAAATGTACCCTTCTTTATCCTTTAATATGTACACTGCCAGCCATCTCAGGTGATTTTATCTTTTGTCTCTTTATTCATTGACTCTTTCCTTTTTCTTCTAATTTTTATTGTAGAAGTGGCAAACGTACGATGGGGCACACATGATGGTCAGAGGACAACTTAATGGAGTCAGTTCTCTCCTGCCAACCACCTTTGGAGAGTTTCTGGAGATTGAACTCTGGTCACCAAGCTTACAAGAGAGCACATTTACAGATGGAGTTGGCTCACTGACTCATTATGCATCATTATAAATCTCTATCACCTCCCTCTTGACTGATGTGGTACATTGTCTCTCATCTCAAAATCTGTTTCCTACTTCTGCTAATTCTAAACAATTCTGCAATTAACTGCCAATTTGATCCTATTAAATCAACTCACGGGAGTTAGAGAAATGACTCAGTGGTTGAGAACACTTGCTGTTCTTCCAGAGGATCCATGTTCAATTCCCAGCACCCACACGGTAGTTCACAATCATCTGTAACTCCAACTCCAGGGGATCCAACACCCTTTTCAGGTCTCTGAGGGTACCAGGTATGCAAGCAAACACACATACTAAAATTATTAGGCCAGTGCATTGACATCTGTCACTTAGTAAATACTACAGTTTTCAGTTAAGGTTGAGAATAAACACTCCACTCACTAAAATCTTTTATCTCTGAAATTTCTTTACTGACTCTAAAACAAACTACTGAATTCACACTTCTCTGGTCTTGCCATCTAAGAACAAATACTTCAAAGTAAATGAAAGTGTTGGAAAGAAAGATAGGAAGGAAGGGAGGGAGGGACAGTGAGAGAAAGAAAGAGACAGATACTCAGCAGGATTTATTTAAATTTGGTGGGAGTGGGGGTTGAGGTTGGAAAGATAGCTCAAACTTAAGAGCACTCGCTGCTCTTCCAGAGGACTCGAGTTCACGGTCCAGCACTCACACAAGTGGCATACATTTGCAGAGATATATACACATAAATAAAAATAAACTGTTAAAAACAAAAGCCAACTCATCCACACTATCATCCTTCTCTAAAATGTCCTAATCTTTACAGAGAATAAATTCTAAAGCCCCTAAAATATAGTGCTCACTCCGTGGTAGTATAACTCTGGTGAGCCCCCACAATGAAACATACCTATGTATAGTCTCCCTCCCACAATGACAACTTAACCAGAGACTTCACAAACTGACAGACTGACTAAAGTGATGCTATGCCAGTTCAAAGAAGAGCCCCGAAATAGCAGAACAGAGTCCAAGTCCTTCTTCTTGGGGACTTGTACTTGGAAGCTCCTCCTTTTGTGAATCCCTTGCTATTAGGCAACAGTAACAATACAAGTCAGTTTGTATGCAATTTAATTAAATGTTTCATGATCATCTTAAATAGGAACAATTTTTAATCTAAGTACTCCCAGACATATTTGTACCTCTCCCAAAAAGAAACAAAGTGTGTGCCTGGTAGCAGCCATTCCATTCACTGAATGTATCTTAGCACTCAGAATGCAGCAGTGTTGGTAATACATGTTGCGGTGTGCACTGTTCTGTATGATGAATGGTTCTAAATGCTTTTCTAAGTTACTTTACTTAGTCCTTAAGAACCTGAAACTATTTGTATTCTATAAAAGGAACTGAGGCATAAGAAATTTGTTGAAAATCATACTGAAACCAATTGAGTCAAAATGCAAACCCATTCTTTAGCTTATGCTGTCAATTACTACATGAATCCTAGTCTCGTGAAATTTGTATTCTAGTAGTAGGGCTAGTGAGATGGGGAAAGAGTAGCAACATCACAAAATTACAGGAAAACCAGTAGAATTAGTTCAAAGATGATGACGTGAAGGGGAAACTGTATTCTGATGAAAACTACTACCAGGTTCCAGGTTCCTCCTTCAGGGCAGTCAGGAAAACATCTGGGAAAGAGCTGAGCCACCCAGAAACAGCAAAGCAAAGACAACTCCAGCTGAAAAGAAAGCCATAATTTCAGCATGATTCAGGAGAAAAAGTCAGTCTGACTGTAGGGATGGTACCACGTGAGAAGAGTTCAGAATTAGCTGTGGCTCAAACAGAGGGCCTCATAGGCCAAGGATCTGATCTGTTTGACTTTGAGGAACACTGGAAGTCTTTAATCAAGATAATGCATCACCTGATTTGAGTTGTGAAAAGTTAACTCTGCCCATCTATACCTAACAAAATGTGGAATGGAGCTAAAGAGATGGCCCAGGTTAAAAGCACTGGCTGCTATTGTAGAAGACCTGGGTTTGATTCCCAGTACCCATACGATGACTCACAACCATCTGTAATTCCAGTTCTAAGGGATCCTAGACCTCCTCCGACGTGTAAGAGCACTGCATGCACCTTGTGCTCAGACATACATGCAGGCAAAACACTCTCACACACACAACAAATAATTAGAACAAAATTTAGAGGGCCTAAAGTAGAAGCAAAGAAAGCAACAGGAAAAAACCACAACAGTTTCTGTGAAGATTATAGTAAACAGTAGCAGCATTTACTAAGATGGAAAAGATAATCATGCTTTAGAATTACTATGTTCGAAACACCTATTCGATATCCACATGAAGATGTAAGGCACCAGGTACAGAAATAAAGATATAATTTTGAATGTCACCTCATTCATATCAAGTTGAATTTGAGTGAGTGGAGAGAGAAGGATGGACCTCTAAGGCCCGGCTCACACCAGGGTTTAGAAGCGAAGCAGAGAAGTAACAAGTATATTAATTACCCTGTCGCCCTTGTAAATCACAAGTTATTTAAGAGGCAGGGCAGTGTCTTTCCTATTTCTGCAGTACCCTGTAGAACTTGGTCTAATATTTTGAACTCAGATACTTGGTACAATCTAATGAATGAATAAATGCATGCCATTTATTTAGTTCAAGATTTAGTTCAAGATTCTTGAGTTTTCACTAAAGAAATATATTTGACAATAAAGGCTACAGTATCTCACATCTATCAGGTACTCAGATACCAATTTAATGAATAAAAGAAAATACATGTATGCTATGGCAGACGTACTTTAGTACTCACTCCAGAGAACACAGCAAGGAAATATGAAGGCAAGCAGCGGCCCATATCCTTATACTTCAATAACTACAAACATCCAAACTCTTCACTTTGGTCCCTGCTATAGGGTGCAAGGGGACTGAGATGCACCTATACTGTTCACTGCAACTCCCACCTACCCCACACAAAGTCACCATTTGCAGTTTTTATGTGGTACTTGGGATTGAACCCAAGGCCTACAGCATGCTAGGCAAGCAAGCTACTCACTGAACTACATGGCCAGCCTGAGTGAGTCGTAAGGTTTCTCTGTGTATCCCTGGTTGTTCTGGAACGTGTTCTGTAGACCAGGCTGGCCTTGAACATGAGAGATCCACCTGCCTCTGTCTCTTGACTGCTTGGACTAAAGTCTTAAAGCTAGAGGGTCCTTCAAGTTTTCAAAAGCTCTTACAAGAGCACAATTTATAAGAAAAGACAATCCCAAATTAACAAAAGGTTATTTCAATCAAACTTCTACTATTAGAGTTCAAAAACTATTAACTCGGAGCTGGAGAGATGGCTCAGAGGTTAAGAGCACTGACTGCTCTTTCAGAGGTCCTGAGTTCAATTCCCAGCAACCACATGGTGGCTCACAGCCATCTGTAATGAGATCTGGTGCCCTCTTCTGGCGAGTAAGCATATAGACAGACAGAACACTGTATACATAATAAATAAATCTTTAAAAGACAAAACAACTCCAAAAACTATTAACTCATGGAAACAGTATTATTGCTATTGATGACATTTATTTCATGAACAATTAATTTGTACTAGCCACTGTTCTAAGCCACACATAATTATTTGTTTTGCACAAAAATCCTTTGCAACAGGTTTTTCTAAAATACAGTTTTATATGTATGGGTGTTGTACCTGAATGAATATATGTGCATGTATGGTGCCCCCAGAGAAGAGCATCAAAATCTCCTGGAACTGGAATTACAGATCTGTCAGCAGTCATATGTGTGGTGGGGGAAACTGAGTCAAACCTGGGTCC